CCCCCCCAACACTATGTTTCGCCCTCCTCTCCACCAAACGACCATCATAGCAATAAAGTTCAATTTCAGCCCGAGAAAAAGATTTACCTTATCTCGCGAGAAACGCACTCTGATCCTCTTTACCCGCCTTCCCTTTTATTACCCGCGTAAATCTAGTCTTACTCTGCGATGTACACGCGTCCCCAAACGTGCCTCCACCACCGGGTTCGGCAAGCCCTAAACAGCGGCAAAAATTGTTCCGAAAATGTCTGTGTCAAATCGCGGAATTTTCGATTCGTAAATGACTTTGTAAATGAACGACTGCGTTAAAAATGTTATGGTAGACTATGCGTGCTCGCTTTGTTTATGTTCGAGATTGCACTTGCACGAAGACGATGCTGGTCTCTGGCCCCAAGAAGTAATCTTCTTCATGTACCGGACAACTTCTCGGGCATCGCAACCACGCACACCACGCAACCCTGAGAGCCAGCCGAGCCCGGCGAGGAATGGGCCTCTAGCGCGCGCCCGAGGAGACGTGGGTAGGCCACCCAACCGACAGCCGCGCACGCTCGAGGCCTACGGTCGCTTGACAAGGAGGGCCACGGTGTGGTGAAGTGCATTGAGAAAAAGTTTTCTCCCCTAGGACAAGAGGCGTCGTATTTTGATCCGAGCACTAAACATTTAGTTCCCGCGATCAGAAACTTTGGTGGGAGGCAATGCACACGTCAGGCAACAAAACTTCTTTCCTTAGAGCAAATTGTTTAGTACGTCGAAAACTTTCGCGGCCTGGGGCCTAAAAGTCCAGTGTTCAGGACTAAATTTTGTTCTCAGTGTGGGTGAAGTCGAAGTATATCAGCGAGCTGGCGTCCGGGCAGTGGGCTCTTCAGTCGCTGGGAAAAGTTGTGAGGACACCATCGAGGGGGCCGTCACGACCTTTTTGGACGTTCACCGGATTACAGGGATGACAGAAAATACATGTGTTATTTTGTTACATACGAGAGTAAAAAAGAAAACCCTCAAATATGAAAAGTTATGTTATTTTTTTAAATACAAAATTTTGTTGCGGACTACATGCGCCTAAAGGCTACGTTAAAATGTTTTGTTCTGTTTGTACAAATTTAGATTTCTGATTTAGATGTGCACATCTAACATACGTTTAAGATTGTCCCCCCCCCCCACCATTTAGTGTGCATAACAAATTCAAAAATCTTACTTCTCTCTCTCTCTCTCTCTCTCATTACGTATTGGATCTTCCCGCTGTAACACGCACAGAGGTGGACGCCGATACAAGAAAAGCGGAGCACGCCGGAGTCATGTTCGACGCGTCAATTACAGAATGGTAATGAGAACAACAATCACGCGGCGGATAGCGGCGCGGCTGCAGCTGCGGAGCGTCGTGGAGCGTCGTGGAGCGTCGTGGAGCGTCGTGGAGCGTCGTGGAGCGCGTCCGCGAGAGAAGCCTTTATCTCATTGAAGCTGTCGCCCACTCCGGCAGAGGAGCCATTCGGCCGTTCGGCCATTCGGCCAATCGGGCCATGCGAGGCGGGCAGCAGCAGCGTGCAGCCGCAGCAGCCTGCATCCGATGCAGCCTGCACCAGGACAGGACAGGCCTGTTTGGCATCTTATGACCGCCAGGATATTGGCGTTTTTGGCGTCATGAGACGCCAAAATTTGGCGTTCATCAGAGGACGCCAATGTTTTGGCGTCATAAGACGCCAATCAATTCTCAGTGCTGCCCTTTAACCGAATCCAACAGACTGCCAAGCCTAGCAGCGTGTGTCAAAACTTATATGGCGCTTTTCATTTTATTTCGATGGCTGCGAACCGCCGTGCATGGTCTCGACAGTAACCGCGTGCTCAGTTCACGGCGTTCTCGCGTTCTCTCTCCGGAAGGATCATGGACGACTTGAATGTTACTAACCTCTGGACTTCAGAGTGCATCCTCTAGCAGGCTAGATGTCATTTTGGAACTAGAGAGGGAGCTCCACTTTTTGCAATCACATTATTATTTTTGACCAATTAAATCCTAGGTCATTGATTAGAGTGTAGCACCACCGTATGCCCCGGAGGGAGAGAGCAGTACAAACCCGGGTGGTGGAACCGGAGCACCCCCTGGAGTACTCCTTCCTCCTCGGGGCGGCCGCGGCGCCGCGCTCGCTGGAGGCCATTGCGCACGCCCCCCGGCCCCGGCCCCGGCCCGGCCGCCGCTGGAGGACGCCCCGCCACGCTCCCGCTCCGCTCGCTGGCTCTCGCTGAATCAGAGCTCTCCCAGTCAGTCTCGTCCCGCAAAGCCTTGCCGTGCCAGCCGTCCTCGCGCCGAGCCGAGCCCCAGACGAGCCCAGCCGAGTCGAGCCGAGTCGAGCCGAGCCGAGCCGTACCGAGACCGAGGGGCCGAGTTTGGCGTACGCGCTGTGGCGGGCGCTGTGGCGGTGTGCCCGTACCACCGATCGGTCGCGCTACGGAAGGGCGCTAGCAGGTGTCAGAGTGTAGCCGCGCGCGCGCCTGTGGAACGAGTGTGTGTGAGTGAGTGTGAGTGAGTGTGTGCGTGACCACCCTCGCGGAGCAGACCGTCGACCAGTGACAAGGGATTCCGATTGTACAGGACTACCTGAAGAGGTGAGTTAGCATGTTTGTGAGAGTGTGTGTGTGTGTGGGGGGGGGGG